GATGTGATTTGCTTTTCACACACTAATTGGCTGTGTGGGACTTTTTATGGGGAATTTGGAAACTTGTTGTGAGAAGCTGGGATCCTGGGGTGTGACTTCTCGGTTTTTGGTGGTTGGTTTTTCTTTTGGTTTTTGTTTTTTGGGGTTTTTTTGTTTAATTTTATTTTTATTTTTGATTTTTAAAGCGAAAGTGCAGAGCCGGGGTTCTGGGAAGTGGCTTTCCTGCCTGTAATGACATTGGCCTCCGGTATTCCAGCTCACTCCTCTTAGAGCTTTTATTGTATCTCCCAGGCTTTTCCCCATCCACGCCTGCGCAGGGTCAGGGCTGGGGAAGCTGTAGCCCCAAAAGCACTTGAGGGAGAGATGTCGGGCTCCAGACATCCCACGGCCAGGAGTGGTTCCCGTCAGAGCCACTGTGGACCTGGCGTGGGTCTCGGTGCTCCCCCACCAGCGTCACGTCCATGGAGTGGTGACTGTGCAGGAAGATGTTGGGGGCGGATTTGTCCTTTTGTTTTTTCCACTTTCATGTTGATTTTCATCCTTTTCTTCCACTTTCACTAGCAAAATAAGAGACTCTTCTCTTCCTCCATTTTTGCTTTCTACCCCTCGCCCTGGCATGCTGGAAGGTGCTGGTGGGTCCAGGTTCTCCTCCGTCCCCAGGTCGCTTTGCAGGGGCCAAGCTGGTGGAGCTGCCCCTGCCAGACCCACTCAGGGCATGTCTGATGGACCACGGTGGCACTTGGGCCACCGCGTGTGCTTCTTGTTGGGTTTAAGAGATGGGGAGAGCAGCTGTGGTTGCCTTTTCCTTGGGAGACACCATCCAGCCTCAGGAGCTGCCGGAGAAGGGCAGAGGCTTTGCCTGAAGGGGATTCTCTAGTGGCTCGTAAAGGGCTGTGCACCATCAGGAGCTTTTTCCAGTGAGTGTTGGTGCTGGTTTCCCCCATCATGGGGAAGTCCAGGCGTTTACCAAGGGCTCATCTCGCATGGAGAGCTTCTTCTGAAGTGGGAGCTCTAAGAGGGCCTCTCACCTACCTGTGTGGCTGCTTCGACGAAGCTGGTTATCAGCTTTGTGTGTGTGTGTCTGCACGGCTCTGTCGGATGTGGGTGAGGGTGGCTGGCAGGTTGGTGGTGGCACTGGCAGCGAGGGTAAGGCAGACACGCAGACAGAGAAGGCTTGCGCAAGTCTTCTTAGAAAACCCAGCTGAAAATACCAGGAACCTGCCAACCCCTCTTCCCCTGCCACAGACCTCTCGGGTGGAAGCACTGCCATCTTTTTGTGTCTTCATCTGCTCCTCGGTCCTCGCTTAGGACCTGCAAAAGTGGCTGGCACATGATTCTGTCATTTCCAACCGGCTTTGCGGCAGCGGGTACCCATGCATGGGGCAAGGTGGGGCTCAGTGTATGGTGGGAAGGTGTTTTTTTGTGGGATTTATCCTCTTTTTTCCTTAGGGAAGCGTGGACTGTGTGCGTGCTCATGTGCCTGTCTGCGTGCCTGCTCCTCCTGCAATACAATTCGAATGGGATCATTTCCGCCGCCTTCAAACCACAGATCTCAAAGATATTGAGTTGCTACAAGCTCATGAAAATCATTCCCTGGCCAGAGGAGGCAACCAGACCCTCTTCTCAGCCTTGCTGAGGGGTGGGTGTGGTGTGTGATGAGCCTTTATTAGACATCAGAGAATCCTCCTGTCTGGAGATGTGGTCTTGTTGGAAACCCGTCTCCATCGCTGCTGCTCGTGGTTTCTCTGCCCAGCTTGAGGCAGCAGAGGGTCTCCAGGCAGCATCCCCTGGGATATCAGGCTGGAATTCCAGCGGGGGCTGCAGACAGATGCCATCAAGTGTGGGGTTTGGGTCCTCCATCGTCTTGCCCGGGCAGTGAAGCTCACGGGGAGGTGGTGGGGAGGGCTGGGGACATGGCTTGCGATAGGTGACCTGCTGTGTCCCCACCCTGGGCAGTTCACCACCCTCCTGCCCATCCTTTCCTGTGCTTCCCTGGGAAATCACGTCTGTGGGAAGGGTGGCCGTGGGGAGGAAACTGGCCGCCGGCTCCGTCCGGGACAGGGACACTTGGAAACCTTTTCTGTGCCAGCAATTCGACGTGGGGTCATGTGCCTGTCTGCGTGCCTGCTCCTCCTGCAATACAATTCGAATGGGATCATTTCCGCCGCCTTCAAACCACAGATCTCAAAGATATTGAGTTGCTACAAGCTCATGAAAATCATTCCCTGGCCAGAGGAGGCAACCAGACCCTCTTCTCAGCCTTGCTGAGGGGTGGGTGTGGTGTGTGATGAGCCTTTATTAGACATCAGAGAATCCTCCTGTCTGGAGATGTGGTCTTGTTGGAAACCCGTCTCCATCGCTGCTGCTCGTGGTTTCTCTGCCCAGCTTGAGGCAGCAGAGGGTCTCCAGGCAGCATCCCCTGGGATATCAGGCTGGAATTCCAGCGGGGGCTGCAGACAGATGCCATCAAGTGTGGGGTTTGGGTCCTCCATCGTCTTGCCCGGGCAGTGAAGCTCACGGGGAGGTGGTGGGGAGGGCTGGGGACATGGCTTGCGATGGGTGACCTGCTGTGTCCCCACCCCGGGCAGTTCACCACCCTCCTGCCCATCCTTTCCTGTGCTTCCCTGGGAAATCACGTCTGTGGGAAGGGTGGCCGTGGGGAGGAAACTGGCCGCCGGCTCCGTCCGGGACAGGGACACTTGGAAACCTTTTCTGTGCCAGCAATTCGACGTGGGGAGGGCTGCTGCCCCCCCCTGCCCCTGCTCTTAGGGGATTTGCTGCTACATGGGGCTCTGTGGAGTGGGGGGGACATGATGCAGGACTTGCTGCAGAGGGGAAAGCCTGGGACCTGGCTCCAAACCAGGGTAAGAACTGGTGCGCTCACCCTGGCCCCCCCTCCCCAGCATCCCCCGGCGTGGGGAGGAGGCAGCGGCGGAGGGGAAGGAAATGTCGTGCTCTGACTCCTCATTTCCACCCAGCCCAGTCCTGCGCCGGAGCATCCTGCTGCTGCAGCCCGGCTGCTCCCCACGGTGGGGTGGCCGTGGCCACGCTGGGTGTCACACACCTCCTGAAGGTCCCCCGGACGGCACAGAGGTGCCACTTGGTACCCCGGCCATGCTCTTCTACCAGTTCAGCCCCTCCGCTGCCAGGGGTAAGACTCTCCTTCTGGCTGCCCTTCCTTCTGCTATCCTTTCTAGCCCCCCATCCCTCCCTGGGGGCAGCGGGCAGTGGGGAGGGGGGGTCAGGACATCACGGGGGTTGGGAGGTTGGTGTTTCTTCTCTTGGTTGGGGGCACCTGAGCGGCAGCCTCTGGTTGTGATGGCCCCATGGTCCCTTGTGAGCAAGGAGGAGCAGAGAAGGAGCAGGAGGGGGGGTCTGGCAGGTCTGTTGGTTGGGGGGCTGTGGAAAATGCCCATCCTTGGGCCCTACCCACCCTGTGGAGGCAGGAGGGATCTGCTCTTTGGAGCTGTCGTGACCAAAGATGTGGACCACGAGTCTTGGTGCCCTCCCGGCTACACAGTTGCAGCCACAACGTGCCTTCTCCTTTGGAGGTTCTGGGATATACGGGATGGATGTGGTGCTCCTTGGGGATCGGGCTGACCCACTCAGGCTCCAGGGTAGAGGTCTCCACTGGTGTTACTGGTTTTGAGCCCTGTTGAGGGCAGGAGGGGTCAGCCATGGATTTTAGCTGGGTTCACTCCACGGTTAAGGGCGGCTGCACAGTTTGGACCCAGATGCAGATGCTTATTCCAAACCTTCTTCCCAAAACTTCCGAAGTATTTGGGTCCAGGGTTTTGGCTTGATCCTGTCCTTGACTGAACTGCTTGTTTGGGGCTTTTTTTTTTTTTTTTTTTTTTTTTTTAAACCTTTTCATCATGTAGAAGTAACCATCGTTAAAACGAAACGAAACAAAAAGTCTCCGAGAAACGCCGACTCCGGGGTCTGTGATTTCAACCATTGGCATCGATGGGAAGCCCCGTGGGTTTTTTTTTTTTTTTTTTTTTTTTTTTTAAAATCTCTGCTGTAACTTTGTAATTGGAAATGCTCTCGACTGAGACTGTTGACGAATGGTGATGAAATTGGGGTGTTTCACTGTGATCTGCTCTGGGTGGGTCTGGCCTCACTCCAGACTGTGCTGGGTGGTGCCTCCGAGAGGGACGGGCGAGACCCTGCGACTGCTGTCTCATTTTCTACACTTGAGGTCAAATGTTTGTCACCCTCAGAAGTATAAATCTCAGCAGACCGACGGACCGCTGACACTAGGCAGCAGCTTGCTTTGGCTGCGGGAGTTTTGGGCTGTTTTCCCTCAAGTTCTGTAAATTTGAGAAATTTCCCAGAAAATAGCGCTGGCTGTTGGGTGGGTTCATCCAGGAGATCGCTGAACCATGTGTGAGGGATGGGAACCAGCCAGGCAGGGGGGGCTGTAGAAAACCATCAGGGTTTTGGTGCCTGCCAGGAGGAACATCAGCTTGAAAGAAGAGGTGGGGTGGTCCGGGGTGGTGGGAAGGAGGAAGGAGAAGGAGAGGTTTCTTTGGCAGACTTCTCTGGAGGATGTTTGCAAAAGCGACCAGCCCTAAGCTTTGATGAGCTCTGAACTAATTATTAAAAACAAAGGCCTTCCTCTCTTGCCTGGCAGAGTATTGTATTTTGGTTTGGTTGGGTTCAGAAATGAAATGTTTCATCGGGAGGTTAAACTGGTGTCTGGTGGCCCTATTGCTCCTGTGTTACCTCCTCCTCTTTGCCTTCTTCTAGCGGAGAGGATAAAGCTGAGTGGTTTCTGCTCCCTTGGGCAGAGACACCCCCCCTCCACACATGGGCATCGGTGCCCACCAGTGCACCCCTGAGCTCTCCCATTTCTGCAGCTGGTTGTTTCTTCTGCTTTGTGCACGTGAAACACGGGCTTGGGGGCTGTGGGACCTGGGGAGAAACGGGCTGCCCATCATGGGGAGCGTCGCTGCTGCCTGGTGGGATGCTCAGGCTGGTCCTTTGCTTTCTTTCAGAACTCGAAGCCAAGAAAGCCTGCGACTGGCTGCGAGCGGCGGGATTCCCCCAGTATGCCCAGCTTTACGAAGGTGAGAGCTTGCCTCCTCCTGCTGCTCCCACTCCCTGCCCTCTCCCTGGTGGTCTCTCCTGTACCTCAATCGAATACCAAGGGTGGCTGCAGGGAGAGCTCACTGACCTCTGGGGAGAGGAGAGGACGGAGAGGATTGTTTACTAATTATACGATTATGTATTAAAACTTTAAGCCTTTGGACTTGGCCGTGACCCGGGGAGCCAGCCATGCTGTTAACTTTTCTGCATTCCTGAACTTTTTGCCTTCAGGCAGGGCTGCGAGGAGTCCCCGGGGCGGCTGCTCAGGCCAAGGGCAGCCCAATGAACTACACGGGCTCCGAGTAGCTCAGTGAGTGTTTGCGGTGGGTGGGAGCCCCGAGGCAGCCAGTGGAGGTAACGTGGCCAGTGAGCGTTCCTTCCCTCCTTCCCTCCCCGCTCACACGTCCTGCAGGCTCCTGCCCTGCCCCAAAATGCTATTTGGCAGCAAAGTCTGGGTTTTCTGAGTACACAGCAAGCCATGCCCGGGGCAGACTGGGTTCCCAACACCGCACAGCTCCCAAGGTGCAGCAGATCCACCGTGATGGACCCATTCCCATCTCCTTGGCCGTGCACCCCCGGCAGGTTGTAGGGTGACTTTGGTGGTGGGTCTGGTCGGTCTGGTCTCCAGCTCAGCTGTGTTTACGTCAAACCCATGGTGGGACCTCTGGTCCCTGCTGGGGGGGTTGGTGGCTTCAGCCAGCCCCGGCTGGCCGGGACAATAGCGGGAAGCCGGGTCTCCGGCGGGCTGCAGCCATGGCTATTGTTCGGCCGGGCATTTCCACCGCCCCCCGCAACACGTGTGCGGGAGCCACGCTCTTGCCCCTCAGGTGATGGCTTTACAGGCTGCCTGTTTTGCCTCTGATTTCTATTTCAGGGGGAGGGTTTCTATTTTTTCCAACAGGGAAGACCCAGCCCCAGGTGTCGGACCCCAATAGCGCTTATAGCCCAGGGCGGCGAGGAGCGGGTGGTGGGTGCTGGAGTCTATGAATAAACTGACCCTTTTTTCAGCCTCTCTGAGCAAAACTTCCCACATCCTCTGAGTGTTTCATTCTGTTTTTCTCCCCAGCTGGCAGGGCTCAGCGTCCCCTTGGTAATTGCACTCGATAGCTTCATTAACAGCTGGGCTTAGATGCTTGTGGTTAATGGTCCAGGTCCTACATAGCTAATCCCAGCAGAGCTGTCTCCGAGTGTACAGAAATGAGCAGGGAATGGGATGGAGACCCTTGGGCACCTCGCCGCCCTCACCTAACTTACCTGGAAAGAGCACTGCCTGAAGACCCTGGGCATGTACCACCTCTGGGTGGTCCTCCAGCTGCTGCCCTGCAAGCTTATCTGCCTGTGGAGACCTGATCCATGGTCTTTGAAGTGTGTGGGGGGCATTGAATGAGATGCTAGATCTGCTGTACCACTACACCAGTATGGCTTTTGTGCTCCTGGGGCACCTCTTAGTAGCTCTGAGTTCTCCCTAGGGAGCTGAGAAGTTTTCTTGACCCTGTGGGATCAGTTGGAGAAGGGAATCATTGATGAGCGATCAAGGCATGTGATGTATTGCCTTATGGGACACCCAGATGTCTCTTGGGCAGTGTTGAGGAGGTGGCCACTCTCCAAAAACCACCATGAGAAGCCCAGGGGTTCCCTATCCCCCTGCGGTGCGTGCAGCCTGCACCCCCAATGAGGAGAAGTCAACACTCCAGATGTGCTCAGCTGGCAGGAGAGCTGTGCAGTGGTACCTGTGTGGGTGTGCGAAAGGGCTGTGAAGGGCTGGTGTTTATTTCTGAACCAGCTCATCTCTCCAAGTGCTACAGCTATCCCAGCACCGCATCCCAACAGGAGCCTTTTCTGTGGGTTTTAATTGTCCCAGGCAGGCCAAGGTCCCCGGCGCAGTGACGGGGTTGTTTGTCCTGCAGTCTGAGGAGGAGGTGATGTGAAGGGTATCATCTGCTGCATGACACTGATCCCCTCCCAGCATCTGGGCTGCCACAAGCCCTTCTTCTCCTGGCCTGGTGGGACTTGTTTCCACCCCTCTCCTCTGCCTGGTCTATCCTTCCCACCTCTGCACTTGGCTTGTGCTCACCACCAGGACATCCCCAGCCCCCTCTGTCTTGCTCTTGTTCTTTGCTGGCTGCCTCCTGGAGCTGTGGGCAAAAAGTGATCCCTCAGGAAGAAACACTCCCTGTGGAGAGCTGTGTCCCGGCCGGTTCAGTGAGACCATCCCTCTCTGTAAGTTCCTCTCCTTCATCCATGTCTGTCACAGGTGGCAGCTCCTGGTGGCAATGCGATGCTCCGGCCTTCCCGGCTTCTTCTGACTCATACTCATGGTGCAGGAGCCTCTCACGCCTTTCTTTTCCACCGCTCTCCTGCTTCCCCAGCTCTCCAGCCTTGGCATCTCTCCTCTTCTTGCTCCTCACAGCATCTCTCTCCTCCCACGATCACCGCCATCCCTTGCAGCTGGCTCAGAAATGACCACTGATTTTTCCTCTCGCTTTCCTCCCCAGACTCATTGTTCCCTCTCGACATCGGCGCTGTGAAGAAGGACCACAGCTTCCTGGACCAGGATTCCCTCAAATCCCTGTGCAGGTAAGTCTTCCTCGCACCCCTTCATGGCTACAGGCAGCGGAGCCGGGGCAAGGATGTGCCCCAGGCAAGGGCTCAGGGTGGCTGCCCACGGGTGGGCTCAGCCATGGGGGCTATGGGGTCCCTGCCTTGCACCCTGGCTGGGGTTTGGACCCTGCTCGAGCATTCACCATCCCTGGAGGTGTTCAAAAGACAGGTTGATGTAGTGCTGGGAGGTATGGTTTAGTGATGATGCTCCTTGTTTGTTGTGCGGGTGTCTATCTTTGTCAGTTAGGTTGACGGTTGGACAAGATGATCTTTAAGGTCCCTTCCAACCTAGAAGATTCTGTGATTCTGTGATTCTCACTCCCTCTGCGAGGAGGAATTTGGATGCTTTAGTCTTTCTCATCAGGCGGCGTTGCTGGCTGTTGGGTGGTGCCAGGGAAACGGCAGCGTTTTTTATTTTGGACTCGCAGAGCTCCTGGAGAACGGAAGCGTTTCCCAGGAATAATTCTTCTCTTTGTGTGGCTTTCGGGCTGCGTTTCAATTTCAAGCTTGGGTAACTCCGGCCTGTAGAGCTGGATTAGAAATGGTTTGAACTCTCAAATGGAGCAGAGGGGCAAAGAGAGAGACCCATTTCTGCTGTCCCTGCTGCCCGTGGGTGGCATCTTGCTGGCTGTGGTCCCCAGGGCAGGGAGCCGTGTCTGCCCAGGGTGCATTTTATATTGCTTTATTTTGCAAGCTTGCTTCGTAACGTCTCTGAGAACAAAATAGAGCTCGGAAACCACGTCTCCACATCATAGTGAAGGGGTCTGGCTTGGCTGGTGGCGTAAGGCAGATTCAGATCAAAGTGCCTGTGGGTGAAATGGTGTCCACAGACGGAGTTTCACTTGGTCATCAGGTGTGTGCTGCCTGGGAAGGAGAGAAAACACACAGCGAGGGATTTGCTGTAGTGTGAGGTGCTGTGTGGGAAGTCACACGCTGCTAATTAGCGCTTCGTGCGGGTCATTAGGAGCTGCGGGTGCTCACGGCGGCGGTTGGGGAGCTGTGATTTGCTTTGCCCAGGTGAAGCTTGTGCTGGTGGGTCCCTCCTCTTTCCTGGAACGACCGCTGCTCTGCCCGAGGGTTTCTGCTGGCTCCTGTGGCTTCGTGTGACGTTAGTCATCCCGGTGCCTGGCAACGCCACCCCGCTGAACATTTTCCACCAGGGCACGATACTCCTGGCAGCAGCGGGGCTGAAAATAGCTCCTGGGGGTGCATTGCTGCAGGGAGGCAGCGGGTGTTTAGGGGGAAAACTCTCCCAGTACTGCCAGAGTAAGCAAGAGCAAACACCCAAAAGGAGGGACACCCCCTCTTCACCTCCTCACCCCCACCCTCCCCAACTCTGTCCCAGCATCTGTCTGTCCGGACGGGCTGTGTGTCACACTGGCCAAGAGTGACTCAGAGCTGCTTTGGTTTTCGAGCCACATCATCGTGGCCGTGCCCCCGCGCTGACTCCTCGCTGAGACACGACCATTGCCTCCCTCTGTCCCTCCCACACACCCCCCGCTGCCCAACGGAGAGGACACGGGGTGGGAAAATGGTCCGTTACTTATTTGCTTTCCAAACAGAGAGGTTTCTGTGCTGGGCAGAGGGGATCCCCTGCGCTGCTTCCCGGGTGCCTGCTGAGCTCCTGGTTTTTCCTCCCATTGGTCCCATCAGGGTGGGAGATAGAGAGAGGTCTCTGACCATCTCTCCCTGCCTGAGCTTTCAGGTTCTTTTGTGGTCACCTGGCTGGACACAGAAGCTTCTGAGATTGTTTTGTTCTAATAACCTGGAGCAGGTCATCCCTGCCCACTCGCAGGACTGGCACAGCTGGGTGAGCCAGGCAGGACAGCGGTGTCCCTGTGTTTGTCTAGCAAAAAGGTCTAAAAGGACACTGGAAAAGGCAGCTCCTCCAAGAAAATGAACCCTCTGGACATGTTCTCTTCCCCCCTGGCACACGTGCTCCCATCTTGCTCCCTGTGCCAGACCATGCATTGAGTCCTGCGGCAGGATGCACTGCAGGACCGTGCTCTTGGTTGGGGGGTTTCAGTGGGATTGCAAGAGGGGCATTAGTCAAGTTTTTTGGTAATATGCCCCTGAGGTTTGTTTTTTAGCTGAGCAGACATGGAACTTGCACGCTGGAACAAAAAGTGCTTGTCGTAGAGTTCGTGAAGGTGCTAATTAAAGTGAATTAACTGGAGATTCATAGAATTGTCTAGGTTGGAAGGGACCTTAAAGATCATCTAGCCCAACCATCAACCTAATTCTGACAAAAAAAATAAATAAGAAATAGGAAATTAAAATTACTAAACCATATTCCTGAGGACCTTGTCTACCCATCGTTCATTCATTCACTTGTGTAAAGAAGAAAGCCAGGGCTTGAAGCTGTAGCTGGAGAAGGTTGAAGGGCCCACCTGGGGGTCATTCCTGCCCCAGGGGGGTGTCTGGCAGCTGAGTTTGAGTGAACAGGTCTCCCCAAGCTGTCAGGGAGTTTGCCCTCAGAAATAGCAGAAATGTCCCTGGTAGTCTTCAGGGCCAGGCTACTCCTGGCAAATGCCACCTGAGAGGTGGCTCGCACCCAATGTGGTCCTGGCAGCCCAGTAGTGCCATGAGTGGTGGGAGGTGGGTGTCCTTTGAGGTCCTTTGGTTGTGGGAGAGCAAACGCCGGGTGCTGGGGTGGCTGCAGGGCTTTAGGCACGTGGGAGGGGAGTGTGACTCTGATGGCTACTGGCATAATACTGGCCAACAAGTGGTCCACTGGCTGGTACGTGACCACAGGCTTGTGCCACTCGTGCGCTCGAGTGGTTTTGCCCCTTGGCGTGTGACCAGGTGCCTGAGCAGGTGGTGGGGGCACGGGGTGCTGGCAGAGCTTGGGGGGCAGTGTGGGGCACCACGCTCCCCAGGGAGCAGGCTTGGAGCTGTGCCGGGCTCCTCAGAGTGTCCCTCTGATTCCTGGAGCAGCAGCTGCTGGGTGACAGGTGACAGTGAACAACAAGGGCTCTAAGACAGAAACAGAAAGAAAGAAAGAAAAAGGAAAAGAGAAAGAAAAAGGAAAAGAAAAAGCAAGCACTGTGACCCCGGCAAGGGTTGGGATCGAGGTAAAGCCTCTCTTGGTTTCTTGCAGGAGGCTGATGACCCTGAACACATGTGCCTCCATGAAGCTGGAAGTCCACTTTCAGCGTAAACAGGTACGTCCTGGGCGTTCAAGGGCAGGGGAGGAGCGGAGGGGCACGAGGGAACGTGTGTGCACTGGTGGCACAACAAACCTGCGTACAGTAATAACACTGGGGTGTTCTGGGACTGGCCCCGAGCTCGGACCAGCACCCGGTGCTGCTGGGTGTATTTTTTCACTGTTTCCCAGGATAAACACGGCCCCAGAAGGGTTTGGCTGGATTGGCAGGTGCCCGTGTTTCCCACCCACCTCTCCGAGGCTCTGGTGGTGGCAGCTGAACCCCAGGAGCTGTTAGACCCGGACTGGGACAGCCGTGGGGGTCTGTGCAGGGCTCTGTGCCTCAACCTGCAGCATCACACTGGGGGTCTCTGCTGAGCCGCCCCCCATGGCAACATCCTGACCCTGAAGGGATGGGTGAAACCAGCCCCTCTCTCACACCACCAATTAATATTGGCATATTAATAACACAACCTTTTCTATTTCTCTTAATGAATAATACATTGAAACAGCACACCAGCTTGGTGTTTAGCATATGGAAATCGTTATGTGGGTGTTTTCCTGCTTATTCCGACTGCCCTTATTTTGGGTTGGGAAGGGATGCTGACCTGCATCCCTCACTGTACTGCTGTGTGTGGCCATAGGTTTGCTGGGAGGCTCCACAGGGATGTCCCAACTGCCTGTGAGATATCCAGAGGTAGCCTGGAAGCAGCACCTTCCCCTCCTTGGTGCAGTATGGCCCTTGGACATAGGCAAAGTGATGCCTGGTGGCTCCTGGAGCCCTCTGTTGATAAAGGAGTGGGTTTAAAGGGCCGTGTTGTGGACTCTGCCCTTTGCTGGGGTGCTTGTCCCAGAAGAGCAGGGCAGGAGGACACACCGACCTTGTGTGACTCTGACTGATTGTCCCCTCTTGTCACCCCCCTGCAGAATGAAGACTCCGAGGAGGAAGACCTGTGTGCCATCAGCGACCGGTGGGCTTTTCAGAGGGACAGCAAGAGGTGGTCACGGGTGGGGTCAGTCGATGTCCTCTCCCAGGGCTCCGAGGTCCTGAGCTCCACCATGCGGCTGGCGTCCAGCCGCGAGAGCGTCCTGACGGACCTCAGCACCAACCCGGAGGCCGTGTCCCTGCACAGCAGCGGCAGCACGGGCAGCACAGGTGGCAGGTTGGGCATCGGGACCGTGCCACCTGGCCCCCCGTCCCCCATCCACGCTGCCACCGCCGCCTCCAGCCGCAGCTTGAGTGAGCGCTCCTTGCCGGAGGAGCCCTCCAGCCGGGATGAAGGCTCCAAGGAGAAGCCAAAGAAGCGACGGTCTCGCAGCTTCCTGAAGAGGATCGAGTCCCTCCGAAGGAAGGACAAAGAGAAAACTGACCCGGACGAGAAGGTGGCCACACACGGCAACCTCACAGCCACAGCAGGATGGGGCTCCCTGAAGACTAATGGGGACCTTGCAGCCACCAAGGCCACCTCCCCTAAAAGAGGGACATCTGGCTCTTTCCATGGCAAAAAACACTTCTTCTCGGTATCGTACAGGACTAACCGCTTGCTAGGCTCAGGCAGGAGCAAGGTGAGCTCTGCCTCCTCGAAACGCAGCGGGGTCTACCTGGAGGACTACAAAACCGACGCGACGGCCAGCGGCGACTGGGCTGCTGGAGACTGCCAGCACCGGCCGGCACACAGCGGGGACTGCTTGGTCTACATCCCCCGGGACCACAAACCGGGCACCTTCCCCAAATCCCTCTCCATCGAGAGCTTGTGTCCCTTGGGCGGCAGCTCCCTGAGCCACTGGAAATCGGGGAACGTGCCCGTGGGGCTGGTGGGAGGCGGTGGGGGTGGCAGCAGCAGCAGCGTGGAGGGCTCGTCCTCCCCGCGGGGTTTCGGCTGCCGGCGGCGACGGGGCTCCTGCAGCTCCTTGGGCAGCCGGGTCAGCGTGTACGACAACGTGCCCGAGTTTGGCAGCAGCGAGGACTTCTGCAAGGACGACGGGGAGGTGACCTACGAGAACCTCGACGACATACTGCAGCACATGTGGGGGCTGCAGCAGAAGTTGGACCTCTGGTATAAAGCCATCTCCCCTGACCTGGCTGGGGAGGAGGGGGGTGAGGAGGAAGAGGAGGAGGAGGAGGATGAGGAGGAGGAATCGGACTCGGGAGGGGAACCTTCCAACCTGCACTTCGAAGAGCAATCCATGTCGGACGTTGGGACTTCTGCCAGTGACTTTGACAGCACGGGCAACTCCCTCAATGAGGCCGAGGAGACTGAGATGCGGGAGCGCCGGGACTCGGGGGTGGGAGCATCGCTCACCAGGCCCTGCAGGTAAGCGTGGGTTGGGGCTCGGGTTGTGTCCTCCTCTCCTCCACCATTCTTAGATCCCAGCTGGAGTAGTGCATCCAGCTCTGGAGCTCCCAACGGTAAGAAGGACATGGACCTGTTGGAACAGGTCCAGAGGGTGGTCACAAAAATGCTCACAGGGCAGCCACAAAGATGCTCAGAGGGCTGGAGCACCTCTGCTACAAGGACAGGCTGAGAGGTTGCTCAGCATGGAGAAGAGAAGGCTCTAGGGAGACCTTAGAGCAGCTTTCCAGTATCTGAAGGGGGCCTACAGGAAAGCTGGAGAGAGCCTTTTTACAAGGGCATGTAATGATAGGACAGGGGGTAATGGCTTCAAATTGGAAGAGGGGAGAATTAGATTAGGTATAAGGAAAAAAATTTTCACTATGAAGGTGGTGAGACGCTGGCCCAGGTTGCCCAGAGAAGCTGTGACTGCCCCATCCCTGGAGGGGTTCAAGGCCAGGTTGGATGGGGCTTTGAACAACCTGGTCTGGTGGGAGGTGTCCCTGCCCAGGGCAGGGGGGTTGGAACTGGATGATCTTTAAGGTCTCTTCCAACCCCAACCATTCTATGATTCCTAGGAAGAACTTTGTCCTGGAGCTGCCAGTGTGTTGCCCTTCAGGGGACCACCGCAAGCCCATCTCCCATCCCACACTTGCTTCTGCAGCAGGGATGCACGGCCCATTGGCTCCGGGAGCAGCACTGGAGCCCTTGCTGGGAGGATGCTGACCGGTGCCCTGCAAGCCCTGGCTTGGCAATCGCCCTTTTCCTGGTGGCAGAAGCGGGCAGGAGAGGGGAGATGCTGGTGGCCCTGGGGTGTGGGCAGGGGGAGCGTAGCACAGGGCACTGATGCGCTCTGGTGGCTGCAAGCCACCACTGCCAGCCCTGCTGCTGCTGCTGTGGTGCACAGGCTGCGACCTCTGCCTGCACAGACCTGTAATTAAATGGTTTTTCATTTACTAAGAGCAGGTCTAAAAAATGAAGGAGGTGCTTGCTTGCAGTGTGCTCTTGGGCTTTCCCTAAGAAAACTCTGAATTCTGTGACCTTTTCTAGCCCCTGCTGGGCTGGCGCTGGAGGGTGACATGCCTACAGGCAGGCACGGAGGGATAAAGAGGACTAGGGTTTTTGTTAGATGGGAATGTTCCTTCTGGGCTTGGGGATGCACTGGACCAGCTAAGCAGGAGACTTCCCAGAGCAGCATGGACTTGGGAAGGGTTTTAGCAGTCTCCTGAGAGAGCATGACCTTGTTGGGGTGTCTTTTCTTCTTGAGAAAGCAAGTGTTGGAGACATCCCCTTTGCCATGGTGATGCTCCTCATGGTGGTCCCTCAGGGGTGTGTCACCCTGAGCATCTGAGCTCTCTCCAGGTCTCCTGGCAGAGCTGTAGCCCACCATGGTCCTTGAGTGTTGGGGTGGCCCCATGGCTCTGTGAGGGGTGCAAGTGAGAGGATGCTGGTTGTTTGAGGGGACTGTCGGGGAGGGAGCAGTCCTTTGAGGGACTGCAAGGGACAACATCTCTCATGCTCTTCCTCACACCCCCTCACACTGGGTTTGTGAGCAGCGCTCATGGCACTGGGGCTGGTGTTGGTATCCCTGGGCTCAGCCCGGCTGCTGCTGTGCCCACACCTTCCCCCAGAGCAGTGGGTGCCGTGGGGAGGGAAAGGTCCTTCCCCAGTGTCTCCAGCTCCACCATGACTGTCCTTTTCCCCACAGAAAGCTGCGCTGGCACAGTTTCCAGAACTCCCACCGGCCCAGCCTGAACTCTGCCTCCCTGGAGATCAACCGCCAGTCCTCTGCCCAGCTCAACCTGCTCCAGAAGTGCTCCCTGCTCCGTCTCACGGCCATCATGGAGAAGTACTCCGTGCCCCACAAGCAAGCCTGGACGTGGTGAGCTGGTGGGGAGAGGGATTGGGACGGTGCTCTCGTGGTGAATATGTGCTATGCCTGGCGCTGCCTCCCAGCCCAGGACCTGCAGCCTGGGGCAGCTTTGGTGCATGAAGGTGGTGGAGAGGGATGGGGAAAAGTAGAAACAAAAGCTGGCTTTGTTCTGCGTGGTGGTGGGCGTCCTTGCAAGCACGAGGTGGGGGCTGACACCTGGGCTCCCAGCATCATTGCATCCTGGAGACCTGCAGGCATTTGTGGGGCGTTAAAAAATGCTGCAGCAACATCAGAGAGCAGGCCAGTGGTTCCTTTCTGTAGCCAAGTATTGAAGCATTTTGGCCTCATAAAAGGTGCTGTGGTTCCTGCTCGAAAGCTGCCTTGCTTATATTCAAAACATGGCAGAAGCAGGTGTACGTGTGTGTTACCCGGGTCCCACTCCCCTCTGCAAGGTGGTGCTGAGGTTCTTTGTGCTGACATCTCTCTGTCCCACCCCGCAGGACCGTGCCCAAGTTCATGAAGCGGAGTAAAGTCCCCGACTACAGGGACAAGGTGGTCTTCGGGGTGCCACCCATCATCAACGTGCAACGGACGGGGCAGCCCCTGCCCCAGAGCATCCAGCAGGCGATGCGCTACATCCGCAGCCAGTGCCTGGACCAGGTGATGCTGCGACCATTGGCCGTGGCTGTGGGGTGGCTTTCAACTTGCTGATGAGCAGCAGCGCTGTGATTTGGGGGGAAAAAATGAAAACCAGCTTGCCAGGGTGCTTTTTGTTCACCTCTTGCAGCGCTTGGCTATGGTGAAGCGGGAGGGTGTGGTTCCTTTCTGTAGCCAAGTATTGAAGCATTTTGGCCTCATAAAAGGTGCTGTGGTTCCTGCTCGAAAGCTGCCTTGCTTATATTCAAAACACGGCAGAAGCACGTGTATGTGTGTGTTACCCAGGTCCCGCTCTCCTCTGCAAGGTGGTGCTGAGGTTCTTTGTGCTGACATCTCTCTGTCCCACCCCGCAGGACCGTGCCCAAGTTCATGAAGCGGAGTAAAGTCCCCGACTACAGGGACAAGGTGGTCTTCGGGGTGCCACCCATCATCAACGTGCAACGGACGGGGCAGCCCCTGCCCCAGAGCATCCAGCAGGCGATGCGCTACATCCGCAGCCAGTGCCTGGACCAGGTGATGCTGCGACCATTGGCCGTGGCTGTGGGGTGGCTTTCAACTTGCTGCTGAGCAGCAGTGCTGTGATTTTGGGGGAAAAAATGAAAACCAGCTTGCTGGGGTGCTTTTTGTTCCCCTCTTGCAGCGCTTGGCTGTGGTGAAGCGGGAGGGCGAGATTGGCCAAGGGTGGGAGTTCCCACAGACATCCATCACCCGGGGTTCTCCTCTGGGTTGCAGGGGAATGAGGTCTTTGGGGACGGGGCTTCCTCACCAATCCCATGGGGCTCCTCTGCGCTCGCTCCAGCACCTCGATATCTCTCTTGTATTGAGGTGCCCAAAACTGGACACAATACTCGAGGTGTGGCCTCACCAGGGTTCTCCTCGAGGTTGCAAGGGAGTGAGGTCTTTGGGGACGAGGCTTCCTTGCCAATCCCATGGAAGTCCACCCAGGCACTTTCTGGGTGGGTGCCCACTTGAGCACCAACCCCCTCTTTCCTGGCAGGTTGGCATTTTCCGAAAGTCAGGGGTGAAGTCCCGGATCCAGGTGCTCCGGCACATGAATGAAACCAGCCCCGACAACGTCAACTACGACGGGCAGTCGGCGTACGACGTGGCTGACCTGCTGAAGCAGTATTTCCGTGACCTGCCGGAGCCCATCTTCACCAGCAAGCTGACGGACACCTTCCTGCAGATATACCAGTGTAAGTGCTGGGCTGGGACCGGTCACCCCTGGGCTGGGGATGAAAAGTCGGGGTCTCCAAGGGAGGAGGCATCTCCCTGTTCGTTTGGACAGAGGCGGTGGAGGCAGGTGGTGGCCCGCGGGGATAGACCTGCTGACCATTAGGTTTTCCACAGTTGTGTCAAAGGAGCAGCGGCTCCAGGCGGTGCAGGCGGCCGTTATCCTCATGCCGGATGAGAACCGGGAGGTGCTGCAGACCCTGCTCTACTTCCTGAGCGACATCGCCTCAGCGGAGGAGAACCAGATGACCGCCGGGAACCTGGCTGTGTGCCTGGCCCCCTCCATCTTCCACCTCAACGTGTCCAAGAAGGAAAGCACCTCACCGAGGTAAGGGTTGGACTAGCTCTGTCCTCCTCAACCTTCCTGCAGCTCCTGTCTCCCCATCACCCCTTCTCTGTCCCTCCTGTGAGGAAGCCACTCAACCCGGGCAAGACATGGTGGGAATGTGTGTCCTCTCACACAGCCCCCCATCGCTCTGCTCTGCTTTGCAGTATGGAGGTCCCCCATTCTGCAATGCAAATAAGAGCAATGTGGGGCTAGAGGTGGGCAGGATGCCCAACCGGTCCCTACAATGCCTGCTCCCCCCACAGGGTGATACATAAGAGGGGCACCATGGGGAAGCCTGACCAGAAGGACCTCAACGAGAACATGGCTGCAACGCAGGGGCTCTCCCACATGATCACCGACTGCAAGAAGCTCTTCCAGGTGGGTGACTGTGGAGTGGTCCAGCCTGGCATTGCCTTCCCTGGGTGCTGCCAGTGGGAGATGTGAGCTTGCTGGTGGGGTTCTGGTCCTGTGGAATTGGTGTGGGGCAAGATAAGGGCACCCATCCTTCAGTGGGGCAGCTGCTGCTGGTTGGTCAGTACTGTGAGCGAAGCCCAGCTGCATCTTCTTGTGGTGCAGGTCACAAGCTGCAGCATGTATGTCCAGGGAGGCTGTGTCCATCTTTCCTCCCTCCTTGGTGGGATGAGGAGTTGCGGTTTTCTGGCTGCCCAGGACCACTTACAAAGTCCATATAGGATCCTTCTGGCTTTCTGAACATCTCTATGCTCTTGGTTTGCAGGTGTCCCATGACATCTTGCTCCAGCTGAGCAGCTCGTATATGGCAGCAGATGCTTACCCCCATCCCCTGGCTGACTTCGTGTGTCAGGGGGAAACCAAGGATTTACACTCCTACTTTGAGCAGAGTGTCCAGAACCTGCTCAAAGAGTCATCGGAGAAATTCAAGGGCTGGCTGAGCACCCCAGGGCCCCTGAACACAGAGCTGTCCTGCAAAAAGGTAAATGCCAGCGTGTGGAGGAGGGCTTGGGGTCACGTGGGGAAATGGGTGACCATGGGGTGTCATGGGTCCTGCAGACACCTGCCAAGAGGCTCACAACCCCTTGGCGTTTGTTCCCTTTGGTGAGGAGAGATCAGCAACCCCTTCTATGGCCAGAGGAGGGGCTGAGAGGTGGAAAGCTCTGGGATGGAGAATGCTTTGTGCCCAGGACTCCTAGCAGAGACCTCATAGTGGTGTTAGCAGAGGAGCTGGTTGCCCACATCCAGCCTCTCTCCAGCAGTCAAGTCAAATCCCATCCCATCCCATCCTATCCCATCCCATCATTAGTAAGTAGATGGTGCTGCTCTGTGGCAGTGAGAGCCATCAGTAAAGCTGCTCAGGGGGGTTAGCACTATGGGGGTCCCATGGGACAGCCTGCCTGACCTTTCTCTTGGCCCATCAGGTTGGGGATGGGCACCCTCTGCGCTTGTGGAAGGTCTCCACGGACGTCGAGGCCCCTCCTGCCACGGTGCTGCACCGGGTGCTTCGGGAACGTCATCTCTGGGATGAGGACCTGCTGCAGAGCAAAGTGGTAGAGGCTCTGGACAAGAACATGGAGGTCTACCACTACGTCACGGACAGCATGGCGCCCCACCCACGCAGGGACTGCGTGGTGCTCCGGTAAGGGCAGGGGGGGACCCAAGTTGGAGGGTTTGGTGTTGGTTTGGTGGATCTCATCCAGTCCCAGCCCTGGCTGCTCCTCCCTGGGCTGTACCCCCAAACTCCCTGCTCCCCATGCAGACCCCATGGGCTGGGCTGCCCGTGGGTGAGGACACAGGGACAGGAGCTGAGCGGGACCGCTCTGTCCCACAGGCGCTGGCACACGGACCTGCCACGGGGAGCCTGCCTGCTCATCTCCATCTCGGTGGAGCACGACAAGCTGCCGGTGGAAGGAGGTGTCAAAGCCATCGTGCTGACCTCCCAGTACCTCATCGAGCCCAGCGCCATGGGACGCTCCAAAGTGACCCACATCTGCAGAGCTGACCTCAGGTAAGGGGGAACCTTTGGTGCCACCCCATCAGCTTCTGGGGAGGTTGGTGGAGCAGCAGGTAGTGGCAGGAGCTACTTGTCCCTCTGGTTGCCTGGCCTGGTGAGTTGCAGCTCACAAAGTGTGGTGCCTACCTGCCCAGAAGGAAGGGGGTGCCGGCCTGGGGCCAGGTTTTTAGATGGTTACTGGGAAAGGAGCTACCAGCTTGGTCTTGCAGTGCTGGCAGTTCCTCTGGTGGCTCTGAGTTGTGGCAGCAAGTCCCTTAAAGCTGCTGCAGAAGACAGGGGGTTCCCTGTGGGTCTGAAGCACAGCATTTACACTCTCTGTGGCGAGCTGTGCTGGGGTGTAGTGGTGTAAGGATGGGCAGATGCAAGGAGCAGTCTGGTTGCCATTCTGGACTGGCACAAGCCTGGATGGGTCACAGATATTCCCTAATTTTGCCTGTTGTCTGTGGTGGGGACCTGTAGTACTCGTTCAGCATCTCATGGTCCATCGCAGCTGGAGCTGAGTCCCTGTCCTGGAGCAAAAAGCGACGTTCTGCTCCTTGGTGCCTGCCTGGTCTCTTCTGTCCCACTCATCCTTCTCCTGCCTGTTCCCTTCTCCAGGGGCCGGTCTCCTGAGTGGTACAACAAGGTCTTTGGCCACCTCTGCGCCATGGAGCTGGCGAGGATCCGAGACTCTTTCCCAGCCCTGAGTCCCAATGGCCCCGAGACGAAGATCTGAGGCTCCAGAGAAGATGCTCTGTCCTGTCTAACATGGACTTGCCGGTGGATCCGGGCTGGGGCTCTTGGAGGGGAGTGCCATGCAGGCAGCTGGCGATGGAGGGGGAGGCAGAGGCTGGCACGCTCGCAGGCACATATTTATAAGCATCCTTTTACCCTGGGCTGGGCATTCCCCATCCCACCATCCTGCTGCTGCTTCAGCCACCCCTTGCTCAAGCGTGCCGTGCAGCAGGTTGTCCATGGAGGTGAAGCCCTGCAGCCCGTGGTCCCTGCAGGAGGAATTGGGGAACAGCAGGAAAAAGAGGGGAGCTGTGGGGGTGACCCCCTCCCCTGGAAGGCATCCTGTGGGCAGGGCTGGGAAAGCAGCTGGCCCTGGTTGAGCTGGGTCCCCCCTCGCCGTGTGAGCTGGGAGCATCCGTGGGGTTGAAGGTGCATGGAGTGGAGCGGCAGGGTGTGGAAGTGTGGGAGAAGTGAGGGGGAAGGACAGTGCCACGTCTGTAGGTCACAGCACTGTCGGGAAGTGAAGGGTGGGCAGCGAGGGGTGGATTGTGCAGTGTCACCTGGCAGGGACAGCCAGGGAGTCGCTGCGAGAACCTGTTTGGTGGTGGAAGAGGATGCTGTTCTGGGGAACAGGGGGGCTGCATCTGGATACTGAGCCCTGGTGGAGTGGCAGAAGGAACCTATTGCTGTTATCTTTGGTGCTTAATTTCATAGGAGGAGAAAAAGCCCTCCAGTCCTGGACCTTGCTCTTACTCTGCTTTTTCCCCCTCTCTTGTGCATTCAGTTTCAGTGGGGGCTGGATGGATGATATTCCAAGCTAACCCAGCCCCATGAAACCAGTCTACCCATGGTTTGGAGGGGGAAGGACACGTCCAGAGCCCCAGAGCAGCTGTCCTGGTAGTTGGCTACAGTCTGGGAAGGGGCAATGCCCCACTGGGCTAGTTATGAGGAGGAACTGAGGGATGGAGGGAGGGACACAGCCATCACAGCAGCTTTCTAATTCCTTGCTGCTGTTGGGATCCCTGTTGCACTGCCCCAGAGAGGGGAGGAGGGCAGAGCAGCCTTGTCAATACCATGGCAGCTTTGGCCAAGGCAGGGTTGTGCACAACCCAGCTCACCAGCAAGGAAAACATGGTAGCCCAAGCCAAGACCAACCTCAGTCCCATCCTGGCCTCTGCAGTAAGGTGGGGAGGTGGAGTTGTCCTGGATTTGCCCCTCACTGGTGGTGGAGCCCGTGTCCCTCCTGGATGCAGAGCTGCCTCCCTGACGCTACTCCCTGCAGAGATTGTCCCTTCCCCTTCCCATCCCTCCTTTTCCCCTGCAGAGAAACCCTCTGCCGTAGCTAACAGCACCCGGGACTCGACCTGGTTTCTCCCTTCAGGCAGGGACCCAAGTTACCAGACATCGTTCCAACTGGAAGGCAATATGACCCACGCGGGGGAGCCATTCCCAGTGTCAGTTTTGTAAAAAAAAAAAAAAGGAAAAAAAAAAGCAGCTCAGCCTGTATTCTGTGTTTTTATATATATATATATATTTTATATATATATAAAAATATAACTAACATTTGGGGGAGTGATTTTTCTCCTAATATTTTTTTAATATTTTTTTTTCTATCTATAAATACTTGTACATTTGGAATATTAATATATAACTCTGGCAGTAGAGCTCTGTGCCAGGTGATGCTCACTTAAAAGACGTGTATTTTGTATTTAAAGGACTTTTTTGTTTTGTATCATATGCAACAGCAACAGATTGTTTGACTTGGATGGGGACTGCTCTTCCCATCTGTGTAATTAATAAAGTACTAACGCTATCTGCTGGCTGATGAGGAAACCTTCATGCTTAGCAGTTCTCCAGCACAGGAGGATCCCAGTGCTGAGCGTGCTTTTTCTTGTGGGGCTGTGGAGCTGAAAGGTGGTACCTGGCAGGCTGGGGAGCCGTGGGCATCCTTGTGCCACCAGGGATGGTCAAGTGCTGCTGGCCTGAAGCGTTGCCAGGGTAAAGCTCTTACGGGAGTCGTGCTTGGTCTGCAAACAGCCCTTCACCTTCTCCTGGAAGGAGGGGGTGGTGATGGTGTAGAGGATGGGATTCAGGGCGCTGTTGATGGGCAGGATGAAGATGACCACCCAAGAGGTGATGGTGCCTGTGCCAACAAAGACATGACATTAGACAGCTGAAGGGGGGCTTCCCCCTACCCAGGGTAACCCACCCAGCTCCAGCCCATGCAGCAAAGGGGGGCTATGACATCCGTGGGCTCTTAGCAGGAAGAATAGCCCCTCAAAGTAGGGAGGTCATGACTGCTGCTCCCTGGGGAGAGGCCCAAGGAAACCAGTAATGCTGTCCATCTCCCCTTGCAGCCCACAGGTGGGTGAAGAGATCTCCAATCTAAGCAGTGCCCACACCAAGGGATCCCTGACCCAGGGAATCATGGCAGGCAGCAGCCAGTGGTGGGCTTTTCTTCGGGGCCTTGTGGAGAACGGGGGTTCACCTGGTATTTCCACCTGCAGCAAGGACAGAAGCCTGAGGAGGAAGATGGGTATCCAGCAGAGAGCATCGGTGAAGACAATAAAGAAGAACCGCTTTGCAATGGTGACTTCCCGGGAGCAGACACCTCTCTCCACTGTTTTGGACGCAGTGATGTGGATGGAGTAGAACATGCCAGAGTAGGCGAAGACGATGGTGATGAAGGCTGCGAGATTCAAACCTGGAGAGAAAGAAATCTCACTCTGAGCGTAGCCAAAGTGCAACCCTCGTGAGCTGGGATCGGCGGCAGCAGCAGGACTACTCCTGCTTTTATCACTAGAGGGGGCAGAGACATCTCAGCAGCTCCGGCTAGTTGTGAATCCAGCCTTAGCCCAGCGATGCCCAGCTCTGGAGTGAGGCTGGGGACAGCATCAGGCTGGAGCAGGGACCCTCCCCAGTCCAGAACAGAGGGCAGAGCTGGCACACTTGTTTTACATGGTCCCGGTGGGATGGCAGCACCCTGTGAAGTCAGACATCCCACTAACAGAGGAAGTGCAGGCTCTCATGGCACCCTGGAGGGGAAGCCTGTCCTGCCCCACATAGAATCATAGAATCATTGAGGTTGGAAGAGACCCTTGGGATCATCGAGTCCAACCATCTACCCTACTCTACAAAGTCCTCCCCTACACCATATCCCTCAGCACTGCATCTAAACGTCCCTTAAACACATCCAGGGATGGTGACTCAACCCCCTCCCTGGGCAGCCTGTTCCAATGCCCGACCACTCTTTCAGTGAAAAATTCCTTCCTAATGTTCAATCTAAACCTACCCTGTTGGAGCTTGAAGCCATTCCCTCTCGTTCTATTGTTAATTACCTGTGAGAAGAGACCAGCCCCAACCTCTCTACAGTGTCCTTTCAAGTAGTTGTAGAGGGTGATGAGGTCTCCCCTCAGCCTCCTCTTCCCATCATCCCCATCACCAAGTCCCAAGGTGCCTTACCCAGGTAGATGGTGGCAGAGTATCCCCGAGCACTGGGCCGTTCATCCAGGTCAGGCTGCAGTGGGAAGCACACCCCGTTCCTCCCGTAGTAGTTCCCAAAAGTCTCTTTACACCACAGGGGGACGATGCTGAGGGAGAAGCCCAGAAGCCAGATGGCCGCTAGCACCGAGATGGTCTGCTTCTTGCCAGCTCGGTGGTGGCTGAACGGGAAAACAATAGAGAAATATTTCTCCAGGGTCATGTAGGTCAGCAGCAGGACTGACACCTCGGAGGAGAGCATGGCCAGGCTGCCCACCAGCTGGCACTGGAGGCTGCCCATCCAGCCCTGGGCGTGCTTGTTGTATTCGCCCGAGTACTTGAGGTCAAAGGCTCCGATGACGAAGAGGTAGATGCCCATCAGGCCATCTGCACCTGAGGGAGGGGAGGGGGGAAACAAAGTACTCTGAGAAAAATGCATTTGTGGGCAAATGTAGCACTTTGCATTAATGCTGTGGCCATAAACCCATTATAGAACTGGGCAGTCTTTGGCTTTATGTATCTGCATATATATATGTGTGTGTGTGTGGATACAAGAGCTACTCTGCTGGTGCCAGTGAGCAAAGACCTGAGGGCAAGGGCTGAGATGCCCCAGGCACAGAGGGATGCCCAGAAACCCATCAGCTCAAAGGGAAAGGTAGCAGCAAGCAGGCCCTGGCTGTGCTGGGGAGGGCTGGCATCAGCCACACAGGTCCTCCTCGGGGAGATGCTGGTGGACAACTCATCCACACTCAGTTCCTTCTTTACTCCCCCGGCTTGACCCTGCCCCTCCGCCCCAAAGCTCACAGCACAGGGACTTGATGGCCATGGTGTGCTGGCTGTTCTCCGTGACGATGAAGGACCTCATGCAGATGACGAAGAGGTTGCCGAAGCAGGTGAGGCAGGCGACGACCCAGACGAAGACGCGCAGGATGATGTTGGCCAGGAGGTTCTCGAAGGAGGAGATGCCGTCGGTGTTGGGCTTGCAGCTGCGCACGTGGGGGGCGTAGCTGCAGTACTGGAACTTCTTGAAGTAGCTGTCGGGGTGGTGGGGAAGGTTTCCTGGCTGTGACTGGGATGGTCCAGCGTGCACAGACCCTTTGCCCCACACCCTGCACCCTGCCTGCTCGCACCTCCAGCCCCTCAGCCACGTTTTTCCCTATCAGGGTGAAGAGCCCCCCACCTTCCACTGGCCAAGACCCTGGGGGCTTATAGAGAGCAGGGAAATGGAGATGGGGAGGATGGAGGCAGCAGCAACACAGTGGGAGTAGGGCCAGGGTGATGCCCAGCACACAGCCCTCCCTGTGAGAGCAGCTGGGGCAGGGATCTGCAGGGGACACGGACCACGATGGAGCTGAGAGAAAGGATCTCCATTTGCACAAGAACTGCAACTGGTCTTGAAAACTAAATCAACAACACCCCAAAGCCTTTGTGAAGCCGGCTGGAGGCACCCCAGTGCTTTTTGGATCAGGTACCCAGCCACGCTCTTAAATCTGCCACTATTCAGCACTGGCAACTGGTAAGCACTGGAGTGTTTTCCTCCAACCCGTGATTGTCACAAACTAACATTTAAAAATCAATCCCTTATTCAAAACCTTTGAGTTCCATTAAGAGGGATTCACATTTTTTCCCGTGTGTTATTTCAGATTAATCTTTTCAAGCCTTATAAAAGCCAACCCATGTAAGCTTAGCAAAACTCTACATTAGAAAATGACTACAAAACTGAAATGCAAGGCTCATTTCTGCTTAATTATAGATAAAAGGAGAGAAAATGATTGCTTATTAGCAAGTCAGGTAGAAAATGTACCATATTTATAGTGCAAACAGACCAATTACAGAAAGGAAGATGTAGTTGTCTTTCATTACAGGTACTTTAAAATGTGCATCTGGAGAAAATTAATGATTTTTTTTTTTTTTTCCCCTTCCAAAGAGAAACCCAAGCACTCACAGCTGGCTGCACAGTCCTGTTTCCACCCTGCGTGCCATGCCTGTCCAGCCTGTCTATCTGCACGTCTCTGGGGTTCTTGGGTTGTTATCCCAGACCCAAGCCAAAGGACCTCTAATGGGATTACTTAACCACAGCTTTTGGCACCCAGTTTACTACCAGTACAAGCCTTGGTTGACTGAGCCTCCCTTGTCCCCATCACCTATGACACGTGTACCTTCAGAAATGCAGATCACTCTCTGTGTCACATGTGAAGCCCAATGGGGAACCTGTGGCTCTGCAAAATCCTCCCTTCCCATGGGCAAAATGCTCCCCTTGCTCTAAGTAAGCCCCAACTAGGAGACACCCTCTTGCCCTGGGGGGTTTAAGCAGTATCGTCATGCTTGGGGGCTTGCAGGGGTCAAATAAAGCACTCACATGTGTAAGGAGTGAACTGTTCTCCCTCCCCACACCCAGCATCCCCCCAGCATGGGTGCCAGGGCAGCAGCAGCCACATGCTCCCCCCCACTCACATATGGGAGAGGTTGGTCAGCTTCTGGAAGGTCAGGTTGTGGATGTTGGGGATCTCCAGCCCTTCCAAGCTCCTGCAGAAGGAAACCAGCACAGGGGATGCTGTGAGTGGCCCCAGGTTGGGTTTAGGGCTGCCACAGGTGGAGGCAGTGCTGTAGGATTGGGGATGTGGTGGGACTCACAGGGACCGTAGCTGGGGAAGTCTCTCAAACTGGTCAGGGAAGATCTCTCTCAAGGGGTTGTAGGAAATATTCCTGAAAAAGAGACAAATCTTCAGCATTTTTTTCCCCACCTGGAAGCTATGAGAGTAGTTAGAAGAGAAGGCAAAGGGGTGTCTTTCTATGGCTTTTCCCAGCACTGTCCATTTCCCCAGGATGGTTCTGCAGCCCCAAAGCAGAGGGTCTGCAATGGCATCATGCTGCAGGCAGACCTACCAGGATGGAGCCCATCCTGTCACCATGGCTCTGCTGAGTGAACAGACCATGCAGTGAGGAGATGTACCCAGCATGATTTGGAGGTGCAGGGG